ACCAAGTTGGTGGACACCTCCGCTACCGTATTTAGCAGGCTACCAGTTTGCGGAGGACCGGATAGTACAGGGTTGACTGTATCAGGATAAATGAGAGCTGTGAAATGTTGTTGTGATTGTAACTTATTGAAATTATGAATGAAAGAAAACCTCAACAAATACAGAAAATCACTGATACTCTTTGTTATACAACATAACAAGCTCACATATGGTTTTTCCTTCTTCTCCTCAAGTTTGACTTTGAAGGTGCAATCAATGCAATTGGATTTTCCTCTCCATACATGAGACATGTGCTTCAAATCTAAATAGGATTCCAGTGACACACAATCTAAAAACCAGAATTCATCTCATCATCATAATTGATATAATTCACGTCATTTAAAGATTATTGATCAAAGATCTTGAAAATGATTAATTTGGATAAAGGCATCTCATATGTCTTCTGCTTGTCAATTTGTGTTGTTTAGTTCAGAAGACAGAATGTTGTATTTGCATCTGTGTATATTCCATTGAAGCTTCTCTGTGTATGTGACATTTTCTTAGAGGATGGACATCAAAAAAGTAAGTACCTAATTTAATTGGAACAAAACAATTGGCAATTTGTCAAAAAAGGCATCTTTGGGAAATCATGAATAAATGTCCCAAATTTTTCAATTTTGCTTACTTAGAGCATCCAATATGGGTGCAGTCACCAAGTGATTTATTGTAACTTTAACCCTAAATTATACACAGGTCCACTATGGATGTCGCCCAATGCCAAGCGCAAACGGACTGCCTTTGAGGCACAAAGGCAACTCGTGTGCGCTTGTTGATGAGCAAACACCACACAGACATGGTGAGTGCTGCAGACTGGGTCAAAAGCCCCAACCCAAAAAGCACCTCAAAGCACTATTGCAACTGCTCAAGCATGAGGTTGCCACCATTACACAATTACAATCCGGACACGCACCACTCAATGCCTACCTCAACAGACTCAAACAACCAGTGGACCCACTCTGTGAGTGCCAAGACGGGATAGAGACAGTTGAACATTTCTTATTTATCTGCCAGAGACACAAACAACATCGAAATAAACTTGAACACGATCTTCGAGAACACACCATCACAAAAATGAACAAGAGTATACTCTCAAACCCAAATAATTTCAAAAACGTCACCACCTTCTGCAACTCCACTTGGAGATTCACAAACAGGTGGATCTGGGCTAAGGCCGTCAATGAACCTCACCCTGTGAATAGAACACAGCCAGAAGATTAACATCCTCCAAAAACCCCCTACTCCATCGCCTTTTCTTCACTTATTATATTATAAAACCTACAAGCATGTAACTTAGATGAAACAGCCAACAGCAACCCTTTCCCCTGACAAAGCCAGAGGGGTTTTACAGGTGCTGGACACAAAACATAGTGTTTGATACCCTAAGGGCTGAAAAAGCACTAAAAACAATGAAAAAAAATGGTGAGTGCTGCCTTGACAGTACTAAGTGTCAGCATGTGGGTTTGGCTTATTCACTCCAGATGGGCTCTGCTAGAGTTTTTGTATATCTTGACATCATGGGATTATTTATGGGGATTATCTCTTCCTTTTTGCCAATTTGTTCAATCTTGTTGGACTCATTTTCAAAGAGTTTTCATCAAAGCTTCTTTTAGTATATGAGTTTTGTTCAGACAGCAAGGAGTGATGGAGTTTCTGGTTTTGAAACACAATAGATACAATGAAATGCCTACTACATTCCCATCTGTCAAAACCAGTTCCAACTACCAAGCTTTTTCTCCATGCGCATCACGTACACATAAGTGGAAACCATTGAACACCCAAAATCATATAAGTTAAAGGCAAACCATGTTCGCCGGCAAAACTCAACAAAACTCCCAATTAGTACTTTCAATTTGGAGGTTTACGCGTCCTTTGAGTAAAATCCCTGGCTCACGCTTTCACCTCATCATCTATTGTCAAGCTGCCATAACCTTTCACCTACTTCAACCACTTCTTCTTCCTCTTCTTCAAATCCATCATCATCTTCATCTACAAATACATCAATATCAACATCTCAATCAATCTGACTTTCATCATCAAAATCAAACGACAACTACCAACAACAACACATCTTCTTCATTACCACATGGTATCTTTAGTATCCCCAATGAAGAATGCACTGTTCAATATACTGTTAGTGTTGATCTACCTCTCTGTGACCAAAAATAAGTACTTACCTTTGTTCATTACCAATTTGAAACCAAAATTGGTCATGGTAATTAGGGTTCCATTTGGTGTATCTCCACTAATCCTTCTTTAAATGATAAAAATCAAACCTTCAAAAAAAGCCATCAAATTCATCCATCCTGATAAAATTCAAATACAACCAAAGCTTGCGCTAAATCTTTATGGGGTGAGTTCAAGTCAAGTTGTGTTTTTCAGCATTTCCTCGACCTTGATCGAACCGTTAAAATATCTTTCAATCACCTTGACTGATTTGTTGTTGTTTAATTATCTTTGTCTGTAGGACATTACGTAATTTGGCTCCAATCGATCACCTAACTTTCTTAGGAATTCATCATTTATTAATTCTCCTTCGTAGGCACTTCTTACTTCTAACCTTTTACCTGGTAGATTGACTGAATCGAGTTCTAGAGCTTTACCTGATTTACGTGGTCTCCTTTTGGGTGTTGAATCTCTACATTGTCATCACGTTACTCATAACAATATTGAACCGGCTAACATGGTTATTAGTGAATAAGATCAACCTTTTTCATTGACTTTGAGTAAGGTTCAAAAATTGGATTTCGAACGAATGGTTTTGAAGATAAAGATTTCAACTTCAACTGAAACCTTGACTTCAACATCTTTACCTGCAACGTTCAATGGTCACCTTCACGACTCTTTGGAGGTACATCAACTTACATCCATCTCTTGGATTGAACCCAAAATATATCAGATCAAGATGATCAACTCAAACTCGATTGCTTAACCTGATCATTTCAATTCAAATATGCTCAATCGCTACAAGACCATGCCTGGGAAGGTGTTCCCTGAGGGATGCGCGTCCGGAGTAGCTGGTTGGTGCAATCACCCTTTGCAATAGAAAAATTTAATCCTTGAGAAGTTTGATTTGAAGTTTTGTTGGTTCGCTCGCTTTCCGTAATTTGAAATCTTCATCCACTGATGGAAATCTTTCTTCAGCATCTTTTTTGTATTTGATCTTTTTGATTTATGCATGTTTGACTGCAGTGAAACCTTCGGATCTACAGATTCACAAGGGAGGGTGATTTGAGATGATATGAGAAGTGGCAAATTGAACTTGATCAATTTCTGCGGATTGAACTCAAACTGATTTGGTTTATATTTGTTTTCTTTTTTTCAAACTTGAACTCAGCAAGACTCAAGACTCAGCATAACCGTTTCAAAACTACACCGAGACGTGCTTAGAATACTCAAGAAGAAAGTAGAAGAAGATGAACCGATCAGCATCATCATCAAGAAACATCACAAGAACATCATCTTCTTCAAATCATGATATTCACTTAAATCAAATCTATTCAACTTCAACTCAACGAATTGATCGAGACCCATTATTAGTCTCATTTAATGATAAATCACGTTCAAGTATGTGTTCATCTGATCAAAAACCATCAAATCATCAATGAGCTCCTTCAACTCCTTTACCAAAACCGACTTTGTTTTTTCATTCTTCATCATCACCTGACGAATCAATTCATCAATTGATTCCTCATAGAAACAAATGGTCTGAGATGTGTTGGATCTTGATCATCTGACCTATCAGTTTATCACTTTACATTCTCTATGGTAAGTCATCTTTTCCAATATCTTTTCTTTCAATCGCTTTAAATTCACTTTTTATTCTGTCACTTCCTTAGCCCTGTGCGAATCCAAAGTTCAAACTACCTGACAAAACCAGCTATCAAAAAACCCAGCCTCAACGCTAACAAAATCGGTCACGACCACAATCAACCATGATCACAATCAATAACGATCAAAAGTGGCCCATTTTCAATGTTGATCCACATCGATACTCACATTTACGACTTCAAGTACAAGAAACAATCCATACTTCAACCGATGCGGGATTCTTTGCTCAATATGTCAATAAACTTTGATCAAGTCAGTTCTTCAGCAAGCTTACCGCATAACTTTTTCCATTTACTCATAAAATCCTTTTTACCCCAAATTCAATCGATCAACAGGAATATATAGGCCTTACACCGCAAGTTATAGTATTACCATCTAACCAACGGTTAGGGGATCAATCTGAACTCAATAAGAAAGTTAGTCAGCTATTAAACAATCATCATCCTATATCATCAAGACTGACTTCGCTTCATAACACAGATTCATGAAGACCTCACAAAGGCATTACAAATCATCAAATCAGTATTATCGGGTTCAAATCTACCAACAATGATCAATTCAAGCAGTCTAACAAGTTCATCCACCTCATCAAACTTAAATACTTCAACTGAAGATCCATCATCAACAAATCAAACTAACTTAATACTACACCCAAAATTGTAGCTCAAGAAGCACAAGATGTTTATTCAAATGATTTACTTAAGATCTTTTTATTAAAATTATCTCAATTTGATTTTGAATTGAGAAAAGTGTAGTTAATATTTTCGATTTGGTACTATGTTTTCAAATTGGAAATCATTGGCCTAATGTTGATCATTCAGCTAATCATAAACAAATCATTTTGATTGCTCTTAAATTGTCCATTCTTTTGATTTTCAAAATAACTTCTTATCATATGATCAACTGACATCATTTCTTATCTTTTTGCTTTACACTCTCTACAGATATGAAAACCTGGATATAGCTTTGAACACTGGAACAATTTTGAAAGAAGTATTGAGACATGAAGTCCTGGCTAAAAGTCTACACTATCCAGATTGGGTTGTCTATGAGTATTTTCTATACCAGTCTACTTCAAGCTTATCAGTTTGGTTTTGGATCAGATTATATGGTTTTTCTAAATATATTCTGCAATGTTGAGTGTCAAAGAATGTTTACCATGTCATAAACTCATGGTCTTGGCCTTTCTTGAAGACTATGATCAAGTTTTGTCTTTTATACATCTCTCTTTCTTTTGTTTCTCTACTTACTTAATTAATCTAACTTTGATTCAGTTCTTTGTAATGTATTCTGCTATAATCCAATCAACAAATTAGGTCACAAAGCAACAATCAATTGACTTATTAGACAAAATTTTAACAGGCAGATCAAATTATAATGTGATGAATGAATATATGTCCAGTGAAAATAACTTGAAAAGCATGATTAATCTCTTGAAAGATAAGTCTAAATATATCCAATTCAACCATTTCATGTCTTCGAGGTTTGATCCCTTCAATTTGATTAACTAAAAAGAGCTTACACGATTTTATTACTCAATCACAGTTTGTTGACCCATCATTTACCAAGGTATGTATGTTGATATAACTCAGTTTTAATTCAAACTTTTGTTCTTGACTTGATTGAACTAGATATACACAAGCATGTAGGAGATTATTGGCAGAATGTAAAACAACTCTCAAGTTAGTAGGAGATGAATTAGCTTCACTTGATGCATTTGAATTTGCATACACCGGGTCTGTAGTCAATTTATGACTTCTCCAAAACTGTCAATAAAATTATGAGCAATCTCTCAAAAGATAAATCTAAAAACATTTAATTCAACTACTTCATGTCTTCAAGGAAACTATGATCTGACTTGAGTGTATCTTTGGCATACTAAAATGATTGAACAACTTTTGAAGAGTCTTTACAAGATCAATATGTGTATAATATATTGTATCACATAGAAGACAATGATGCCCTTCAAATACATAATGTGATATGTTGAAAGCGGCGCCCGCCGCTGATGTGCTAGTTATTTGTAAATGACAAAAGCACTTTTGCGTTGAAACTTGAGACCACTGGCACTCAGTATCAAGTACGTAGGCGGCAGATAGCAAGGGCGCCCTGCGAATTCTTATCTGACATTACTAAACATTGCAATTGGAAGTAAAAGGGAATGAAGATCGCGGTGAATTTGATTATTTGATTTCTATTAAAGACGAATATTGATTTGATAAAGTTGAGCACTACTGTTCCGATCTCACACAACCCCTTGCCGCTTCTTTCGGCTGGTTAAGCGCGGTTTTGACGATTCCGAACGGGCAGGCCCTGGATATTTTAAAGGCCGTACCTTTCTCATTGAACTTAACAACCCTCTGATTGTCAATACTTTTGCGGGCCGGCGGATTATAAGTTCGATCCAGTCTTCTCGGTTCTCACGCATGAATCGTATCGCGTACTCGGCAGCGACGTGTTCACGCCTTGGATTATATAATTTATGATTCAACCAAAATACGGTGCCTTCGTATACGGGCAGGCTATCAAACTTGGTACTGAAGGTTTGGTCCGCATGTGATTTTTGGGGGGGAAACTTCGTTTTACGAACAGGATACCAATAGAATTTAGTCTTTGGAATCTTTACCCATTTTTCTGAGAGCCACATATAGGCATCAAGAAGATCTTGTTGCAAGTTTGTATGTCCAACTTTCGGAGAAACGATTTCAGAACAGATGGCGATCATCTCCAGATAATTATCAAAAAGGATTCCCAAATTTTCAGTCAGATGCTTCGATTGATCCTTGTCGGGTTCGCGTTTCGATATTCGGTTCTTGAATTTTTGAATCCGAGGTTGGAAAGTATCAATCAAAGCGCGAGGTGAACGTGGTTTGTCTTTTGAATTCAAAGCCAGCTTCTGAACATGATTTGCGTTGAAGTCCAAGTTGAATTCTCGTTGAGGATATGTGGCTTTTGAAGGAAGATCCTTGTTCTTTCTAGATTTCTTCTTGGCCCGATAGTTGACAGGTTGTGTTTCAAAATCAACAGGATTCTTCAATATAGTATTGAGGGGTTTTTCGAAGCCAGAATTCCTCTCAGAGTCAAATTCAAGAACAGTCTGAGGCTTTGATTGTCGCCAGGATCGTGGCAAACTGGAGCGAGTGGATGAGTCCACATTATGAAATCTGGTATCTGCGGATGTTGAGGACAGTTTTACTTGACTGATGGGTCCGTCATCTTCATCAAATGAAAAGGGATCATGAGGACTTTTTCTCTTGGAAGGTTGAGACTCGACTTGATAAGTCTGACTTGGGCCCTTGAGCTGTCCTGATTTTGAAGAGCTTGCCAACGCATCTTGAGAAGGTGGCTTTGTGTTTTGAGATGTCGTCATTGGATTGTCTTGGTCCAAATCCTGTTCATCTGAGCTTCTCGGAAGCACAACGACAGATTTAGCTATTCTTGGCACGAGCCCAAGTAGAGATTTGAAATTGGTACATGGCCAACCGATATAATTCTAAACAGAAAAAGTTACCTGAGGTATCCCGATCCAATTCGTCCCCATTCTTTCTCCATTGGAAGGGTCTTGAGCTTGCGGTCTTTAACCATTCAAGGGGTCTTGAGCCTGCGATATCATCTGACTTCTCGATATCACTCTCGGCTAGATGCGACCGTGCTTCATTGTCAAGGGAGCTACTTGGGCTTCTTTCTGACGTGACACCATTCTGTTCAGAAAGAGATGAAGATATCTTGTGAGGATCCAATGTGAATTCGTCAAAGTTTGGTAGGTCATCCAATGGTGGTAATGAATTGAGTTCATGGAGAAGTGTGTCGATTGTAATTGGCGAGTCTTGGGAGCTGTAATTCGCGAACTAAGAGTTGGAAAAAGTTTACATCCTTATTTGAATTGAATCAGGAACACGTACGATTCTGAAGACCGATCTGAGCCTTGCTTTGTCTGTGAAATAGGTGATATGAGCTTCGTGTTGTGAGACGTACCAATGCCATGGGTGAAATGATCGAAAGACGTTCCGAAATTCTCAAGGTCATTTGAGACTGGAGGACTCACCGAAAGGGGATGCAACTGTGATGAGACATCATGTGAATTTGATTTGGATTCCTCGTGAAAGGTTTGAGATTCAAGAAAGTTTTCAAAGTTGTGACTTTGTCCCAGGTTGTGACCCACTTGACTTTCGGGAGAGCGAATCAGCTTTGCATTTAGGATGCGATGGTCTGATGATGATTGCGAGAACTCAGTGCGAGGCGCGTTCGAGAAGGCTGGTTTTTTTTGGATGTGATCATGAGGTGTCAAGACTCCCGTCACCTGGGGCGCTTTTGAGGCACTCTTGATCCCTGTGATGCCTTCGTAGAAACTACTCGGCCGAATGTCTTCATGTTGTAGAGCTCCACCGAGGCTGTGGACCGAGATCGGTGGGGGGAAGGAAGATTCCAGAAGGGACATTGAATTTGTATCTTCATACAATGCAGTGTTTCCAACTGGGGATCCAGTCGCGGTGATCGCATGATGAGGGTCCGTTGAAAGGGACATGTGGGCACTTGATAAATAGTCATGATTATGTTCGTTAAAAGCTGGTATAGAAAGTAGGTCAGGCAATGTCTCGAATACGTCATCCTGGAAGAGTTGGCGATGAGGAGCATATCCATGTTCTGGTGAAACTTTTCCGGACATCTCTAAGGTTTTGAGCTGATCATCGAGCACGCCAGAGCTCTTTCGAGCTTCGAGTGCATTCCACTCATCGCTCTCGAGTAAGTCACCAAGCCATGACCAATCTTCAAGCTTGTCCGTATGGGCGTCGGATGGTGGTGGATTTGACATATGAATGTCACGCCCAGGGGATGCCATCAGCGAAGCTGGACGGGATATGCGAGACTGGGTTGCTTCTTCTACCTCCTGATACATTGGACTCCGTTTTAAACCCTCGTCTCCGGGCCACCGATCAACCACTAGTCCATCATGCGTGTCGAAAACACCTGGATTTCCTTGCCCAAGAGGGTTTAGACCTGGGACAGACTTCGAGAAAGTGAAATTGTTCAAATAAACCCAACAGTCAACGCTTGTTCTTTATCTTGGCCGCTGTGACATTCAGGATTTGTTCACTAACACTCTTGTCATATTCACCCGCGTGCATATTGTCGATCAGCGTGATATGACCAGTAAAGCTGGTAGGGATGTTGCTAGTGGATGCAGTCGATGATCCTAGCGCGTCGAATTGTTTGCTAGTTGTGTATTTCTGCCCGAGTGAAGAGACGTCGTGCTGATAAAATGCGGAATTACGAGGACCTGCCAAATGAGACGACGATTCTGCGTAGCTGGTCGGAGTGGTTGGAACCAAGTGGAATGAATCCCAAACGCCCATTGCTGTTAGTAGTATAGGCCAATTGAGCATCAAGGCGATTGTCTGGCATGACTTCTTGTTGAATAGATCCATGGTCGAGTCGCTTGATGCTCGATGTGAGGTGCTTGTCGTTCGTGTTCATCAATACCTTTCCGATTCGAAAGGTATGGAGACCCAGGTCACGTGTCATCTCAAGTACTGCAAAACGTGCCATGCAAAACTAGCCTGATGGTCAAGTAGTCTCGGACAGATTCAGAGCTATCATCCCCTGTGGATATACGCACTGTCTAACAAGGAAGAAGTTCGAAGTTCTTATCCGGAGAATCCTCGAAGATTGATCCTTTGAGCTAGAATTCCTGCTGAGAGCCTTGACAAACAAAAGGATTCGAGTCTCGACGAGGAAGGGGGAGCTACATAAAATCAGGGACAGATGATCAAACGGTCTTTCTGTTTCTTCCCATTGATTTAAAAATTCAAACACGTGTCGTGAGCTGGGTAAAATGATGAACACCTGAGGACTGATGGAGATTTGGATTGGGGTTGTTGAGGTACAGAAACTACTCAACACGCGATGATCCGCACCTCATCAGCCTCATCGCACTGAACGGCAAATGATAGGTTGCGATTTTGCCCAGATCGGCTTTCAACAGTCGTCCTCGCCCTCAAACATCTTGACCCTGAGCGACCCTGCAGCTCTTAGCACAACCTATCATCAGCGCCCGGTCAAAATCCAACACCCTCGTGTTGTGTCGACTCTCACATTTGACAATGTTAAACACCTCAATCTCAGTCATTCCAAGACTGAAGTTGATTGTCTTTTTGAATTTGTTAAAAAGGCTAGACCTTTTAAATATTTCAACGACTTTTGGGATTGCTTCAATACAATATTTGGAATTTGGAATTTGGAGGCTGAGCTGAAGGGCATCGTGATGGAATCCACATTCCAGCGGCGCCGGCTCAAATGCTCAAATGCGTATCAAAAGCATAGCTGTGAGAAGCTTGCATAACGTGAGATTCGAGCTTCAAAAATCCGGAGAAAGATGCAAGGAATAAAGAGAGTCTTCAGATTCTTCTCTAGGGGCCATTACGCAAGGTCTTCAACCAAAGATAAACGACAGGGATCGCCGTTTCATGGTATCAAATCGGGCAGCATCATCACTCAATAACAACTCATAAAACAATTAAAAAGAACGATTAATGCAAAGCATCACGACCAGCTTTCACAGCAAAATCAGGTAAACCTTGAGTATCAAAGCTGAATATTGAAAAAGAAGAATCAAAGAAAATCAGCACTTAATCAAATCGATGAAGAGATTTAAAATAACTCAACAAGTAGATTCCTGATAATTTCTTCGATTTAGCATATTTTGCTTTGGCTACCACACTAACTTGATCATCATAAGAGAAGAAGTACTTTCCATTGGTTAAGAAAGGCTAAAAAGAGGAAAGTAAATTATCAGTTTTCATAAACAGATGACGCTAGAATGTGATTGAGGAAATGTTTCAAACTGACTGTACTACTACATTTATCAAAGTAACGTTTATAACCGTTACCACCTTTTAATAGATCTTTAGATAAGTAACCTTTCTCTGTGAATTCTTTTACTAACCAAAGTCCACCCCAATCAGTTTGTACACCACAAACATCTTTCATGGGTCGATCATCAGTCTTGCCTCCTCTCTAGAATCCGAAAAAAAAGTTCTATTAGCTCCAAGAATTTCTGTGATCTTCAAATCAATGAGATATGAACTAACAGGTGCGACTGAGGTATGGTTTTGATAATACAAAGATACTTTTCCATCCACATTTCTAGGTGCGAGTTTAGAAGAAGTTAACTCATATGAACGAGCATAAGCAGGTAAACCTAAAACCATTTTCTCTGGTTTAAATCCTTGTTCAACTAAAGCTTGAAAAGCAGTTTCAACAGAGATAGGACTTTCGGGTGCACAGGTTGCGTAAAGTGGAGCAATTGGACCAGTGGTAGCAGCCCAATTTCCAAAGACATCGTAAGCCATGATTTTTCTGTAAAATTTCAACCATAAAAAACGTTGATGAATATCTTGGAGAATGGCATGTAGAGGCAAAGTCAAACTCAAAGTACGTACACAAAGTCAAGGTGTTTGACCACAAGCTTCGTTTCTTCCGTAGTTGCAGCTGAACCACTAGCGCCCACCAAGCCTGAGATACCCAAGGCCGAGCTTAGTTGCGCTTTAGGCCATTGTTTACGTATTTCCTATCAATCATTGACACATAAGATCAGCCTAAGTCTATGAAGTGCCATGGATTTATCACTTTGTATAGAAATGGTAAACAAAAAACCTACTTGTAAGAATAGACCCAGATTGACGGTGTCCATCTTATCAAATGTATTACAACCAATTCCAGCACTGATGATATAAAAGTCAGTGAAATAGACATAAATTAACACTTTATCAAAGTAGAAACAACTCACCCATTAGGATCTGAAATTTTGACGAATCAATAAAATAAACAAAATCATAATTGTTGAGTTCGACGAGCAACTTTTGAAAGCTGATAAAAAGCTAGTAAAGTCGCTTACATTCCCAATCTATAAAAATCCAAAATCCAAAAGTCAACTTTTAATGATCTGGTAGATGAAAAAAGATGCATGGTTTTGATCTCAACGTACCGATATCAATCCCTTTAAATCCAAACTTTTTAGCAAAATCAATTAAAATCTTGGCATATTTTTTTCGATTAGTTTTGTTTTTAGCCATTGTTGAAAAATATCTATATATCATAAAGCAAATCTCAGAGCTCATGTATTTGTTTTGTCGATAATTATGGAGAGCTTACCTGGACCCTGTCCAACCACCATAAGTGATAGCAGGTAAAACTTTATCTGAAGAACAAAAGTACCATCCGATGATCGTTTCATCAAAACCCTCGATCAAATATGGTTCAATAATCAGAATAGGAATCACTTACTAGAATTAGCCAAAGTGACAAATTCTTTAGCAAGTTTTGCAGCATTTTCTGATGTTAAACCAGGAGGATAAGTGAAAGATCCATCAAGATTAGGAATCGCCACAAAAAAAGTCAAATCGGTGTACAAGGCTAGACAAGAACAATCAGATCGTTAACACCTTCGAAGACGTCTTTTTGTTGAATTGGTTTGGATTGAAAAGGACTCACACCAAGGAATTTGAGAAGGCGATTGAACTTTATAATTATAAGCAGGATAATATCCCATTACTTTCTTTGATTGACTTGATTTGTAATGAGAATCATGTTTACCCTGGACATGAAATGTAGCAAGTAAAACGATGGCACAAAAGGCCAATAAGCTCAAACGATTCATCAGCTTCGGTGATAATGATAGGGTATGTAGAACCAGTGGATGTGGACTTCTGTTTGTGTAGAGAAAATAAAGTGAGAAAATAAAGAAGTTGAAACGAGGATAAAGAAGAGAAACGTTCGAGTCAAGGTATCAAACTTTATATATGTATATCTTGGGATTTACAAACAAAAGGTACTAAGTTGCAATCCATGGTTCTGCCCCGGATCAATTCGAAAGTTCCCAATCGATATCCCACAGGGAATCAGCACCGCGAGGCACCGCTTTTATTCTTCTTCGATTCGTTCAACTGAAGTGCATCATGAATTGATATCCACTTGATGGTGTGATTCCTTGCGTCATTCGTGTTCCACTGCGGATATTAAATTTCACAAAGTCCCACGCTCCCCTTGACTGAGAGCATCTCCAACGCGGATCTGTTCTCTGGTTGTCGTTGTTTTTTTCTTTTTTTTTTCATATCCGCGGTCAATTTATTTGACCTGATTGGGCTAATTCTCCCAATCGGGAGCAAATATGTATCCAAATTCTATTCGCATGCACCTTGTCCAAGCCCCCATCTTGCCAGATCCACCTCACCACATCTCACGAAACAAAAACAACAAGAATGCCTCGATACAGCGCCGACATCAAAGTGCAGGCGATTACTTTATTGTCCGAAGGTATGAGTCGAGCAGCCGTCAAACGCCATCTGCGATCTGCAGTACATGTGGACACCCTCACCCAATGGCAAAAACTATACGAATCAACTCTAGCCGTGGTTCGCAGTGCATCAGAATATGAGAAACGTGGTCGTCCCCTCGTATTCTCAGATCAAGAACGTGAATTCATGGCCGACTTGATCTCTGTGGATAGGAAGAAATAGAGGTTGATGGTTGTGATGTTGGAAATGTGACTGGGCCAGTTTGGCTGAAACGTTGATAAGGAAAATGCCCCGGTGCATGTAGGATTGGTGCTTCTTGAGTCAAATCTTGAGCCGGGTGGAAGAAGCTTGAGGATGTACCGCTATAAGAACCACGAGACTGTTGAGCTGTGTTGAAATTAGTGGTTCTTTGATATGGGAGTGATTGATTGAAACTTTGAAAAGGCCGTGAATTCCGATCAGCAGGCATGTTGAGGATGGCTCAATTGTGTTGTGGACAAACGTGGCGCTGGCTTCAAGCTTGCAATGTGATTCAACAGGGTCCAACAGGATTGAACCTCATGCCACGTAATCAGCTGTCATCAGCCTTTTGCGCGGTTTTTCTGCTAGATTCAAAACCGCGGATATGAAAAAAAAAAAAAAAAAAAACGACAACCAGTTTTGTTTTCGAAACAGCTGTACAGACCCAAAAAAAGATTGCTGGAAAAAATATGACAGCTATATTTCATTTTCAGCTTTGTTGCATCCAACGCTAAACTTAACAAAGTCCCACGCTCGCCTCGAGCGAGGCTGAAGCGAGCGAGGGACTTACGCCAAACTTGTACGGTCCATAAGCTCGCGGTAGAGGCTTTTGCAGGGAGCCTCCTGCAATCCCTTTTAACTTTTTCCACACCGAGGATTCTGGTATGGCCCAAAGAGAAAAAATATGCGCCGTACTCTGACGCATATCGTACAGATTTTTCACCGAGGAAACTGCTCCCCTCCATGAACAAAATGGCTTCAAAGTTTTGGCTTTGATAGCTTTTGTGTACATGTAAACCACGCATGTAACCGCTGCAATTGGGAGGTGTCGGTGAAAATAGTTGATTTTGTTCATCTATTCACAATGTCATTTTACTAGTCACTGGCAGGCCAGTGAGTTCCATTCACCTCAATACAATCTCAATTCAATGTCAGTTCAATATCAGTTTGACCTCCAATGATGTTTGAGTGGGGGATATTCATGGGCTGCATAATCACACAAACCTTCCAGACATTCTGACACCTTCATGTGTGGACATGCAACCAAACTTTATTCCAGTTCATTCTGGAAGGTTGTTTGTCTGTTACTCTAGGCCAAACATTGAGATTGGATTGATATTGAACTGACATGGATTTGAGATTGGATTGAGATTGGATTGAGCTGGACGTACTCACTGGCCTGCCAGTGAGTAGTAAAATGACACTGTGATTATCTGTGTAATAGGAGTGCTTTCCTCGGTGAAAAAAATGTGCAATATGCAACAGATTAAGGCACATAATTTTTCTCTTTGGATCATGGCCAAAACCTCGGTGTGGAATGAGATAAAAGCAAATTGAGGAGGCTCCCTGCAAAAGCCTCTACCGTGAGGTTATGGACCGTACAAGTTTGGTGTAAGTCCCTCGCTCACCTCAGCCTTGCTTGAGACAAGCATGGGACTTTGTTAAGTTTAATCCAACACGCACATGAGGCAATACCGGAATCGCTTCGAAACGCTCCAAATCATGACATTTTTTCATATTGGTGCGCAGGCTCCGATATGAACCGCTGCGCATCAAGTCGCTTTGTTTGGACAAAAAATTATCTCACAATTTTGCAGCACAGAGACCGCTATAATACCACTATATTTCGCGCTATATTGGCCTTTGACATGGCACGATATATAGCAAAATATAGCGGAAAGCGGGAGGCAAATTCACACAAAGCTTGTAACTCACTTAAAGTCTTTGCATACTCGATAGGGGGAAATAACTCGCATAAATGATAAGGGAAGCATAGATGAATCACTTTAATAATTGAAATAGAAGACTACTTTTTCTTTTTCTTTGCCATTCTGTCAATATAGTTTTGAAGGGATTTCTGTAAGGGTACACAGGTAGACAAGTGGCTATGGGGTTAGACTATGGGATTAGACATATTAGAGTACACTATCTTCCTTCACGCCCGGCTTCGGATGGTTCCTTACTCCTTCGAGAGCATCATTTCGGACCATCTGGAGCTAGGTGAGCTTATTTCTCTTCTTACTCCTTTGGAGCATTTCTCTTGTTATCTTGTTAGTTGTTGTGTTGCTGACTCCTTCAAGAGCATCATTTCGGACCATCTGGAGCTAGATCGTAATAGAAACAGAAGTTCCAAGTCCATCGCTCTCGTGAGAAGTTGTGCCGGACTAGTTTCCGGACCCCCAGTGAAGGTTCTCACGAGAACCTTACACTTTTTTTGACTTGATTCACTTTGAAAAAAAAAAAACACAACAAACAAACTCTATTCATCATTTTTTTCTCTAATAAATTCTTCTTTCTGTCACTCTGTTTCCTCTGTCACCTGTCAACCCGGTTATCTGTTCACAAATCAACTCTGTCGATTCACCTCGGTCAACTCTGTCACTTCTCTGTCACATCTGAACCTTTACGAACAAGGCCTAGGCGAATGACCGACAGACCTTCGTTGAAACCCGATAACTTCTTAGACGATCCGGATTTGCTACTACGGAAAGCACGGAAGGATAAACAGAAAGCGACATCTGATTCTCCGCCAGCAGCCGTTGGGCCATCTTACTTGAGAAGACCAGAGGCATCCGTTTCTGGATCACCGGCACCGACGGATAAGATACTGTACGCATCCGGTTATTGACCCAGCTTACCGGTGGTCTCCTTGGTGCATTTCTCGCCGCCACCTGTCTCACCATCAGCATCGGATTGAACTGTTGTCAATCTTCACTTTCAAAAACTCCTCAGCAATCAACTACCGCCTGAAACTCCTCATCCACCGGGTTATTTCCAACCGGAAACACCCCTTACCAGAGACTCGGAAGTCACTCTTGGTAATCCCACATTGACGTGCGAGTCATCTAATACGATGGCTAGTGATCAAGAGACAATTGAGTCCTTGAGACAACAGGTGGAAGGGCTGAAGGCTCAAAACGAATCGCTGGCACAAGCTCGCCAGGAGACTCTCACACTGCAGGCGCTAGTGCGTGAATTGATGGCTGGAAGGATCACAGCATTGTCGCGCTCCGGACTCTCACCTGGTGCGGATCAAGACGCTTCACCTCAAGATGGAGGGAGATCTTTCGTACATTACATGAATACGAGTCCTCTGACGCCCACCCCTCTACCTGGAGGATCTAACCGGCCGGACGAGTCTACTGGTAGACCTTTACCAGAGGCATCGACAGCACAGACGCCAACCTTACCAGCGAACTTGGGAGACCACCAGACGCACGACAACGTCCACACAACGTTACCACCGGAAACCCAGGCCTCAGATCACGGTTTGACAGGACCAACTCTGACGAGAGCACACCAGCCAACGACTCCGCTCTCACCTCGAGCGGCACCAGCTGCATACACTCCTCACCTGGGCTACTATCACCCTGCTGGGCTAGACTTACCACCGGCACCAGTCAGCACTATGACAGCCGAGCGAATTAAATTAAGCGAATTGCCTAAATTCACCGGAAAGTTCGGGCGACCCGCCGACCTGTTCCATTGGCAAGACATGGTCGAAGAGACCTTTGAGGTCAAGAATCTCATGGATGACCGAGAACGGCTCAAGCTGTTGGGTTCGTTACTTAATGACAAGGAAATGTCAGCGTGGTATAGATCAAATAAAGACGAATTACGTCAGCAGTCTTGGACGGGAGCTATGGAGCTCATGGCGACCGGAACCTTACCTCACACATGGCTGGCTGATACTAGAGAGGCCTTAAGACGATTGGAAATGCGTCAATCTGAGTCGTTTGACGCCTATGTGATCAGAGCACGAAGCTTACACCGCCTAGTGAAGCGTTCTGGACTCGTATCGGACGTACATCTTGCTGAATTCATCACATGGGGAGCTCCCCAACTATTTCGCGATATGGTGGAGCGGGAAGGTCATCTCAGAATGGAGCCATTCTCCTTTCCGAAGTTCAAGGAAGCGGCGGACGGTATATGGAGGTTCCTTACCAACGCAAAGCTTTTGGCAGGAGCTACCGGACGACCCAAGCAACCCCCCGCTCTATCCAACTCGAATCCTATTGTGGTTTCAAACTCACGCAACCCCGCTCCTAATCGAACTTGAACAGATGAAGAACGAGCCGAAAATGCGTGGCGATACCACGAATATTTACGACGATCAGGCATCTGCCCAATCTGTAAAGACAAGTGCAATAATCCAGGCTGCACTCGAAAGAACACTCGATTTTTATCAGTACCTTCCGACTTTAATCCAGGACCAAGACCAGCTAGAGGATCGGGATACAACACCAACACCCCTTCTGCAACCCCTGGAGCCCCCATTCAACGTCCAGCGGGACGACCAGTAACCACTCCGACTGCGTCTCGAGTCGACGCTGTCGAAACCTTCCCAGATGTATTAGCCGAAGACATAGCGGCATACGAAGAAGCAGACCAATTTCGAGCCAGTCAAGTAGAAAACGTGGTGGAAGAAGGAGAGAGGTGCGT